AAGGTAGGTAAGGTAGGTAAGGTAGGTAAGGTAGGTAAGGTAGGCAAGGTAGGCAAGGTAGGCAAGGTAGGCAAGGTAGGCAAGGTAGGCAAGGTAGGCAAGGCAGGTAAGGTAGGTAAGGTAGGTAAGGTAGGTAAGGTAGGTAAGGTAGGTAAGGTAGGTAAGGTAGGCAAGTAGGGTAGGGTAGGGTAGGGTAGGGTAGGGTAGGTAAGTAGGTAGGTAGGTAGGTAGGAGGTAGGTAGGTAGGTAGGTAGGCGGATAGTAGATATGATAAGATATCAAGGATATAATAAATATCATAGGTAGTAATGATCGATCGATCGATCGGTAGATGGGTAGATAGATAGAAAGACAAATAGATAGATAGATAGATAGATAGATAGATAGACAGACAGATGGATGGATAGGTAGATAGGTAGATAGGTAGATAGGTAGATAGATGGATGTATAGATAGATAGATAGACAGACAGATAGATAGATAGATGATAGATAGATTGGTAGGATGTTCTCAGGGTGCTCGGCCAATCTTTTCTTAGACAGGTATGATCTTCCTAGCTAAGGATGATGTGTAGTAGAATACCCTTCCGCGCCTGATGGCAATGTTTCAATGTCACAATTCCCTAAAATGTGGCCAGGAAGGCTGCAGCAATGTCACCGAAGGGTTTGCCAAAGGGAGCAAACTTGTTACTATGCTCAAGGCTCCCTCTCGAGGGGCGCGGATACACATGCCATACACTCTCGCATATCATAATATATATATATATATGCATATATATATATATGTGTATTCTGTATATATGTATATATACATATATTAGTATATATGTATATATAACATATAATATATGCATATAGTGTATATATATATATATACATACATATGTATATATATATACACATATGTATACATTTGAAAAACCATAAATAAATATCTATTTTTTATATAAACACACATATATACATATTATGGTAGATATATCTATATATAGATGATGGTATTTAATGTATCACGACAATATGCATAGGACAAGAATCTGTGCTTCATCACTGAATGCAAGAAGCTACCCTTACAGCTGTCCAAGAAGGTGAAAGGAGACTTCTCCACAGCGAGAAATGGATTGACAGTGTGCAAAATCTGCAGCAGCATGTTCCCAGGGTCCTCGGCCGATCTTATGTTAGACAGGTATGATATTCCTAAGAATGATGTGTAGTAGAATACCTTTCCAAGGCTGCTGGCAATGTTTCAGCGTCACAATTCCCCAAAATATGGCCAGGAAAGGTGCAGCAATGTCATCCAAGGGTTTGCCAAAGGAAGCAAACTTGTTACTATGCCCAAGGCTCCCTCTCAAGGGGCGGAATTCGACACCCAGCTCTATATACCATGTAGGCAGCCAAGGTTGCCTTGGTGCAGCTGGGACCCAGGAATCTGGCAGGCTTGCACCCAAGAAATCACATACCCTGTGCTTGACATGCAGGCATGTTGCCGAAGGTAATGCACTAGGATCAAAGTCTCGAAACAGAAACTGAATCACCGCCAGCAGGTCTGAATCTTTTCCATCAAGACATTTCCGAGCAGCCTCAGTCCAACAGCATAAGTGGCTGTAAATGAAGCCATGAACCTTCGCAATCATGGCTGCTTTCAACGATCTGAAGCAAGCAGCCACCCAAGCTGTTCGCTGAACACGCCCCCAATGCTCGCTGGCTTGCCCAGAGTCCGCAGCCTTTAGCCAAAGTTTCACAGCTGCAGCAGGATCGACTGGTGTGGGCGCCATGCTGGCCTGGTATGGATTAAGAGCCAACCCTTCAATGCAACATTTGACCCCTTGATGCATATCTCAGCCCTTGGTTGCCATGCTTCACCCTTCGACTGCAAAATGAATAATTTTTATCTTTTAATGTCTTTCTGAAACCTTTCGGTGGCAGCCTCAAAACCAACAGAATTGGATTGTGCGATCCAGAGGCGTATTTGAGGGGGAATTTCCCTTCTCAATACGCCCTTGGTTTTTACGATCCGGGAGCGTAATCTTGAAGACCCATAACTCGAAAAAGTTGAAACTCAAAGAATTCTCATTGAGACGGAAAAAACATTCTCAATACGCCCCTGGTTCTTAAAATCCAAGAGCGTATTCCATTGGGGAGCTTTTTCCTCATCGAAGCCGACGAGCCAGTCAGCCGCAATGGCTTCCTCACCCCTGGGCGAATAGCGGATGGCAATGTTCTTCACTGTCATCCAGCCTTAAGTAAAAGCCCTGAAACACCCCTTGAGCGCCGAAGCATGCGAATAGATCGCACAAAGCACCAGAAATCCTTCCATGTGGCCATCTTCTTAACAGTCGCCTTCTTGCCTCCACGTTTGCAGCCGATGACAGGCTTACCAGGAATCTGAAGCTGCCAGCGAGAACCAGAAGCTTGGGCACATACTTTGAATGCTGAAAGAACAGAACCACACCTTTCAGGGGTTGGCACTCATGGACATTGCCCAAGAAAGACATTTAACTAACATTCCAACGTCTTGTGGCTGGCAACTTGAAACAAAATTGTAGCTGTTCTAAAAGCACCTGACAACATCCCCAGACAACTCCAATGACAGTGCCCGAGTTCTTGCAGCAGCGCTGAACCAAAGAAAGGAGCTCGGCTTCCACCCCGTCCTGTCTGGCGTTTCCACTGCAGCTCTTTCGGCAACCACCTTCCCAAGGCCATAGCAAATCAGCAAAGCCGCAGCCTCAGTTTGAAGGCATGGTATTATCAATATCTATTTCCACAAACCAAGCCGGCCTCTCCTGCTTTGCTCTCACCTCCTTTCTGCTGAAGTCTGCGCATGCGCTAGCAGTGCTCCATCTGTACAGAAACATTGGCGCCGCTGAGCCGCTGAGCCGCTGTGGCCACTTGAAAGTGACTGCGGTCGAACTAATTGTGCAAAACAAAAGCATCCAAGACTGTGTGCAGGTCACAATCTTATGCCCAACGGGTACCATGCAAATGCCAAAGCTTGTGCAGCTTCTTCCTGCCAGCGTTCTTTTTCACAACTTTGGCGACTTTATGCTTCCTGAATGCTCTGGCCTTTCCGCCACTGGCTACAGGGGGCATCAAGTTAAAGCGTGCCCGAAGTTTGGCTTCCAACTCCCCCATCTTCGGCTTCGGCACTGGGCTCGTAGGCAGAGTTTGAACAACGGTTGAGCCTAGGGAGGCATCACCACTTCGATGTGCTGACGGCAGCTGCCAATCTATCAGAAGCAATGTCATCACCATGGCAGCTCCAACCACAGGGATATGCATAGTGTTTCCTGCCATAGATTGCAGATCAGCTCCTTTGATGCTTGCTGGGATCACCATCCGATGGAGGGGGAAGCCGTGCAAAAGCAGCATCTCATGGGGAACAAGTGCCCGTTGCACATCGGCCACGATGAGGTGAGAGCGGGGAGTGACTGTGGGCACCCTACCATCCACTCGCTCTCGAGCCCGGCCCAAACTCTGGGATACGTCGCACGTCAGTCGGTTAGCTTGCCCAACCCACTTCTGTGACAACTTTTGCCAGAGGTCTCTTTGCCGGGGCAAATGCAAAAACAACCTGTCAGCTGTGCATGCGGGAAGGCAATGCCCCTTATCGGGAGCCAGCTCATACGACGCATGCTTTGCTTTCCACTTTGTCCTGCAGGATGGGTCTGGAAAGCCTGCCGATGCAGCTTTTGTCCATCGCTCCTTCCTCTGGAGTTGGCACGTGCCTACCAAAGGATGATCATTTGGCAACAGCCGCTGCAACAGGGACACTTTTTCACTGGCTTGCTGTGCAGCAGACCACAGCTGATCGACAACCTGCTCGGCACATGCTTCACTCACACAAGCCACGTCCTTCCTCAAGCCTAAAAAGTAGAATCGTGGTCTTAACAGTGGCTCCCCAAGACTTGCAGGATCCATGAGCTTGTGCACCACCAAGTACCCGCAAGCCTTGAGCTGGGACAAGATTTCGCCCATGACTCTTTGTATGCCTTCAACGTTTTCCAGCACGAAGCAAGGGGGCCGAAGTGTGGAGATACGTTTCACGACTGCCCTGAAGATGGAGGCATCCTTCTCCTCCAAGAGCTTGGACTTGTTGTGCAATCTCGAAAATGGTTTGCATGAGAAGCCGGCCACGTACAGGTGGCAAAATGGAGCTGCATCTTCACAGGACGTTAAAACATCCTTGAAGAAAACGTCAGGCTTGCAATTCGTCTCGATCATCGTCCTTGCTGCTAGGTTGTTCTCGCAGCTGAAGACGTGCCTGTGCGGGATCTCCAGAGCTCGAAGGGCATGCACAGGGGCATCCAAGCCGCTGCAGTCAGTCCCAACCTTCAGAGCCGTTGAACCGCCAGAGCCAGGAGAGCCGCTCCTCAGAGCCGCTGAACTCCCAGAGCCAAGAGAGCCAGAGCTAGGAATGCTGCAGAACTTCGGCCACTGGAGTTTGATATCCAAATCCTGAGCAGCCTGACGCAGTTGCCAAAGCATCTTGCTGCCCCATGAATCTAACCAGGCACAAAGGAAGTCGGGCAAATCCATTCTTGAAGCCATTGTTTTGGGCCGAATTACTGCTGCAAACGCAAGCTTGCATAGAGGAATTTGCCTCTCCCTAGTCCCTAGTCCCTATCCCAGATCTGGAAATCAAAATATTAATCAAGCAAAAAATACACCGCCCTGTCTTGCGGCAAGGAGCCATATGGTTCGAGCTCTTGACAAAATCCATGTCTGACAGCTTCTCTAAAAGCCAGGCTTGTGCAGCCCCGGGGAAGGGCTAAGATAGGCAGCTTAGGATTGTACATTCTGAAAAGAGGCAAGAGAGTAGTCGTTCTTCCCCAGCAAGGCATGTCATCAACCTTGCGCTCCTGAAAGCCACCAGCTCTTGCTGCCGTGGGCACATACGGCTTGTCCCCTGCACGCCGACGCTCGGCAATGTTCCCATGTCCTCAGCCGTGAAGATTCTGTGTCTGTAAATGTTGATTTGGTAAGATAACTACTAGACTAGTTACTATACTATGTAGCCAAAAAAGTTGCGTGGCAAAATATACCACCAGGATGTCACAGCCGGGCATCTCTCCTTCTTTCGCTCTGTGTGTCTTTGAAAGTTTCCCTTTGAGCACGAAGCTGAAGCAGCGCCAGCCCACCGTGTTCCCTGCAGGCTCTGCGCGTTGAAAGCACGTGCTTCAGCTGGAAGTGGAAGGGCTAGGCCCGAGACAAATGAAGCCCCAGAAGCATGTGTTCTCCCCATTTTGGTAAGCCTATCTGCTGCAGCATCCCTTTGCAACAAGACGGCTTTGAACGATCCTGGGCGGGCAGCCTGCTTCTTCTGGGAACTTCTTCCTGTGTACTTGTATCGGAACCTCCGCCCAAAATGAAGTACCCAAAGTTTCGCGCAGGCCCGGCCAAAATCTGTGGGTGAGAGCCTTGATTCCCCATCAGCCTGGATTCTGTCAAACAAATCTTCTTCTCTCTGGGGACCATCCAGGGCCACCTCCAACAGAGAAGCAGCCAAACTGCCGTCTTCCGCGCCATGGCCGCCATGCGCACCCAGTTGCCTGCACAGCTCCCCCAAGTTGCGTTCCAAAGTGGTAGTGTTCATCTTGATGCTCAGGTAAAATACAATCAGTGTCTCCAGCTCCTTGGGGAGTTCAATGAACTTGGACAGGAATCTTGACCGCCATTGAGGCACTAAAACCCAGCTCCAGGCAACTCTGTTGGTGACATTTATCTGCTGCGTCTTGCATGTTTGCACAAGGCTGGCCAAGGTTTTGGCAGCGTGAGCAAAGTCCCTCGAAACATCTCGGGTCATTTTGAAAGCCTTGCCAAGCACTGCGACGTGTTTCCGCAGCATGTTCTCCTTGGAACGGTCCAGCCAGGTGAGAACTTGAAAGGCACACATAGAAGCAGCCACTTCATCTGTTGCCAGATCCACTTCCAATCAGTCGAGCATCAACCCCACCACCTGTTGCATCTCGGTCATTGCGAGGCGGATGTCTGCTACACCAGCGCTGGTGCAAAGGAAATGAACTTTCTCACCGTAGTATATCCTGAATTTCGGTAGCTATCCCACACTTTGGATTATAATTAATATGGTATTGGTTGCGTCCTCTCCAAAAACCAACTTGACCAATCCACCAGACGAGCATCGGCTCTGGATCGTCAATTTGCTCGAACACGCATTGCGTGACAGTCTTGCCAGGGCATGACCGATCACCACCCAATGCATCATCACCTGTGGAGCCCGTGGAGCCAGTGGAGCCGCCGGAGGCAGTGGAGCCGCTGCTTGGGTCACCCAAGATCCATCCTTTCACAAACAGCTGTTCCATCCTGTCCTTGAAGTCCGACAAGGCAGACGCAATAGTGGCTGGATCAGGGTCGTCTATGTCGAAATGCTGCCTGAGAAACTTCAAACACTCCAAGCTATAGTCAGCCGTCAGGCCGCATCGAATGAGCTTGTCGGGAACCAGGTTTTGCAATGCCCTCTCTGCTCGTGCCCGAGTCTCTCGATGGTTGCGAACCTTACTGACCAAGCAGGGTAGAGGTATTCTTTTTTTAGTCTGTGTTTTGAAAACTTACAAGGTATCGGTCCTTATCACTTGTTATGATCAACGTGAAACCACATTAAACAATGATCCCAGTAGCATCGCACGCCTGCATGGCGCACAGAATTGCAATGGCACGAATCATGCAGCAGTAGCGCATCATGGGCGTAGCAGTGGAATCAAACCGCTGCTTTGCAAACGAAAGGGTTTTCATGACAGTCTGCAAGCCAGCCCCCTGCTCCCCAACAGTCTTCAGGACATGCTTCTGGGCCGCAATCAAACGGCTTTTCCAGAGTTCAGAGTTCTGGATATCTGGAATCAAGGCATGCCGCTCGTTGAAAAGCCTTTGCCACTGCTCCCCAAAATTTTCATTGGCGTGTAAGGGATCCTTCGAAGCAATGCGAACTTGATGCGCAGGATCCTGGCCTACCCACAATAGGTGCGGTAGGGCTTCATGGGTAGACAGGATCTGCCCACACTTTTGGGCTGCAGTTCCTTGATCAGCCGCAAAATGCCGCACTTGCTTCAGAAACTGCTGCAATCCATCTTCATCCACGCCTCCTTCCAGGTCTTCGAAGGCACGGCGGCTCACTGCCAAGATCGACTCTGCCATTGCTTGAGATTTATCCACATCGTGGGATTCAATGGTGTTTGCCTCTGTGTTGCCTCCGGTTCGGACCACACCAAGCACCCCTTCGGTGATCAACGGATCCATCTCAGTCCACTCCTTCAAGGATGTAGCCGAAAAGCCATCAGAGCCGCTGGAAACAGAAGGCATTGAGCATCTGTAGCGCACAATTCTGAAGTCTGCCCGGTCATCCACTGAAAGGCTGATGCTTCTGGCCTGCTTGAGTCGCTTCTGCCGCAAAGATCGGGTAACCCAATGCATGACAGTGATCATTCTGTGCAAGCCTCAGGTCCATTTGCGAAAGAACCCCCTCCCAGAAAAAGGAGAGAACCCGTGTCCAAGCAAAGAGTAGCAAATACATGATTGCAGACAGGAAGCTTTTGGCCACAACAGAACATCTCCTTCCCCATGCATAGTCTTCGGTCTGGAAATGCTGTGCAGCTGAGCGAAAACTGGTCACCCGCTTACATGCAGACCATGCCCGCAGCCAGTCCGCTGGTTGCGGCACATTTCCTCTAAAGAGGTCCTGATCCTTGAGGTCATAAGGGAGCAGCTCTGATACAGGACGGTCCGGGCTCAAAAACAAACTCTTGGCCACCCGGTGAACCGTGCACTCTTGGTGCTGTCGGATGGCGCAGGCCTGCATACACTTCCTGCGATGGCATTGGATTGATAAGAAGAGGCGTTGTCAAATATCTCAATGTCAATAGTCAACACCTTCAAGACAAAGCAAACATTAACACTGGCTAATTTCTTTTGGGCGAGCTGCTTCTGTCCTGGATCTAATGTCATATGACCCCCATTTTGTTGACATCCGACTCCCCAGCCTCAGGATAGTCATGTTTCTACACAGAATGCGCCCCCACGCTTTGCGTTCTGCATCCAAAAACCACTGCCCAAAATTTTACCCAGCCGAGATGCAATCTCTTGCGCTCTTGTGGGTTGGTCGCAAGCACCTGTACCAAATGCGCGCAAAATGCGCAGCCAATGCCCCAGTCGCCACCTCTGCGGGCTGGACGCTCCGCTAGCCAGATTGTCCGCCGAGGTTTGCCCCACGAAGTATGGTGAATGCTACCCAAATGTTCCCAGGACTTCTTGAAGCGTAGGAACCTGGTTGTTGGTACACTAATCAATGCCATGTTGTGGGGTCCCAACCAAAGCATCTATCTATTAAATCAATTTTCCAACTTTTAGCCTTGACAAAATCAGTTCCTATCGGCTAGGCTATAGAAAGGGAGGCTCTCTGGCTTTCCGCGTCGCATGGAAAAACTAATCCAAAAGCGGGGCTATTATCTTCTGAGCATGAAAGTCGCCTGGCTTGGATCCCTAGGAACGCGTGCTAAGGCCAAGAACATTGAGTGTATGGTGCTAAAGTCCTAACATATCCAGAGCGCCCAAGGCCAAGCCTGACTTGTCGGGCGAAGATGAACTTTTAGGTAATGAGTCAGGGACTGCTGCTTCCACCTGTTGTCAAGTGGCATCACAGAAGTCTATGACGAGGGGACAAGTCCAATGGTCCATTCGTCTGTTGTGAGCTTTTGCTCTGTCATCCACGCGGCAGCATCACACGCACTTTGCAAGGCAAGCTCGCGCACGCAGCCCCCCCGCCACCCCTCTGCCACCCCCCCACCCTGTATCTATTATGTATCTTCACACGCGCGCGGTGCTCGAGCAACCTCCAATGTCATATACTTCAGGGTGAGAAAAACCCCATGCCTCTATGAAGAAAATATCGCCCAATGTTATGTTACACATTTTGAAGATCGCCCCGGGAAAGGGCAGCGGCATTGGCACGGTCTAACATGACACCCAACCGCGGAAAGCCACTGGAGCCTATGTATTTCATGTGAGGGGGCAATGGAATAAGTGATAACCAAGTGGTATCCCTCCCAAGTTCAAAAGGCCTAAACCAGTTGTTAATCTGATGTGGCAATTGAAAGTATAAAAATAAACAAACATATAATACCACGGCTCTAAATAAAGAATCCTTTTGCACTTACAGGCGTATAACTTCACTTCACAAAACACTGAGCCAAGGAAGATCCCTTGAAGCAGCAACTCGCCCAAGCCACTTGCAGCGAGCGCATCGCAGGTGGGAGTCTTTGCTGCAGTGCCGCTGCAAATGCTGGGCTTCGGTCTCACTTGCAAGCCCTGCTGCGCCAGAAGCCGCTACAGCCGCTGGAGCCGCTGGAGCCGCACGAGCCGCAGAAACTGCAGTGCCTTTGCCTGTCCTTCTTTGCTTCCTATGCTTGGCAGGTTTGATGCTGGAAACGCTATCCCCGCGCTTCCGTTTCCCCTTAGGCTTTGAAGCTGCTGCACCAGGCACTGGCAAACCCCAGCGTTTGCCAAGGTTTGACACTGGCATCACAACGGTTTGGAAAAATGAAATGTGTCCTGCAAAGTGGAAACAAACATCTGGATGCTAAAAACCGTTCTTAATTCTTAACTTGAATCAGATTAGTTCCTCATAATGCCTCTCAGCCTCTGAGCCTTTGCGGGTCATAAATGGCATGTCCCCCAGCAGTCAGTTTCTCTCCTTCACATTTGTCATATTTGTCGATGCCTTGGATTATCTTTAAAAAAATGCATCTTCAATATATAAATTTAAATGACTCGAGATGGTGTGATTGAAGAGTCATGTTTTTTCAAACGCCAAAAAAACACAATGAATGACATTCAGGCATGTGAAAGCCGTGTCCGCCTGCTCTGGTTCAGCTGCCGCAGCAGAAGGGGCAACACCTGACCGGAATTGCTTACATCATCCAAATAATGATCGCTGATTCCAAATTCAACAGATCTGCGAACGCATGCCAGCCCAAAATTACAGCTGCCTCTGCCTAATGCAACTCAATGATTCACAATTGATGGTTCAAGGAAAGAAAACCAGTGACCCTGCCACCCGGCTTTTCTCATCTCTTTTCCACGTCTGCCATGGAAGAAATCTGTGCAAGCTGCCGTTCCATGCTCATCACTGCCCCCAGTCACGTGACTGTTTTCCTGTGAGCTGTGGAAAAAAAACGCTTGCCAAGATTACAAATGCGTGGGCCGCTTAGCCGCTTATCCGCTCAGCCGCATGCTCACTGCGCCCATTCATCGTCTGGGTCAACATCGCGGCCACCCCACCAGGAAGGCCATCCGCCACCTTCTGCGGCCTCGTCGTGCTCTTGCTTTTGTTGCTGTTCCTCTTCCTCGTCCACTTCAACAGCCGCAGCAGCCGCAGAAGCCGAAGAAGCCGGAGCCGGGAAGCCGCGAGATTCGGAGGCCCATCCGGACTGGCTTTGGCGCGCATTGCCCCATCCATCGTTCTGGGCGCCCCAACTGCTCTGAGCCTGATTGCTTTTCCAGCTGCTCCAGCCGCCCCAGCCGCCTGAGCCACCCTTTCCGCCAGAGCCACTCTTTCCGCCAGAGCCACCCTTGAGGGCGCCTTTTGCCATGTTGGCGTCGCCTGTCTGGCGCAAGGTGTCCACGCAGTATGCCTGAGTCCCTCCGGCCAACAACCCCAAATGCAACCCAGTCGGGGCACGGCTGCAACGGGCCAGGTACATGGAGTAGGGAGATGCAACTGCGTCCAATTGGCGGACAAGCTGCAATGAAACCACATGAAGGCTGTTGCTCTTCTTCACCGCAATGGCATGCTCCTCAAATTATCAAGCAATGCCGTCCAAAAAAATGACTGGAAGCGACAATGCAAAACAACGCTTCTCCATGTGACAAAGCAGGCTTCAATGATACAAGTAAATGAACAATGCGCACAATACTCAAAATCATGAGCGTATCCACACTCCTTTGCCGAAAACACAAGACAAGGGTC